AGACTCTGTCGCAAAAAAGAAAAAAGAAATTAACAGGGCAAAGAAATATTTGATTTTTATTTTGATTTTGTTTCATAAAAAGTAAATCTTCTATGCAGCAAATAACATTATAAAAGGAATTTTTAGAAAATGACAGAATGAAAAAATAGTACAATAGAAGTGATCCAAATATATTAAAAGTGTCTACATATTAATAAGAAAAACCAATAGAAAACACAGTAAAGGACAGCAAGAAAGAAATCAACAAAGATGAAATTCAAACAGCTAATCAGATAACATAATCCCCTTCTCCCATTGTAACAATTTTCCTTAAAGGCCATGGATAAAGGGTAATGTGAAACTAATATGCATCTGCAGACCTCTGTAAACAAATCAGACAATTCGTGATGGAGCCTCACCACCAACGCACAGGAGTTTTTTCCCATATCTGAGCATACATACAGCAGGATGGTCTTGTTTTATGGAACATGACGTGATGTGATGGCAAGAGGTACTGACTTTTAAATTTCAGTTTATACCACCCAATAAGAGATATAATTATGTAATTTTAAAACTCCACATATTCAGAGATATAATATGTAAATATCTACAGGCATCATCTAAACACGAAAGCAAAGATAACAAGTAAAAGTGCTTACCTTCCCTGATAGCTGTGAAAGGTGTACCTTCTTCTTCTTGCAGCCTGATCACCTTCAGGGCTACCAACTTCCCATTTACCCTGTGAGAAATGAAAGAAAAAAGGAGAAGTGAATTCTTGAAAATATGTGCCCATTATGGTTCCAATTGTCTTCCTTACGATTTGTCTTTTATGCATTTTTGCACTGAAAATGTCAGTGACTCAATTACACCGCTCCAGAAAGATTAATTTCAGGAAGGCTGGGAACTCTACATCATCATCATAAATAATCACATTTTGAATATTCACACTTGCAGAGGCCAAGATTTAACTGTAGTTTTCTGTGATTCGCGCTGTTCCTTCCAGAATGAAAGTACTGTTTCACAAAATCACCACGCTTGATAATTATTCTCAGAGTAATTAAAAATCAAGCAGTCAAAACGATTCTTTTCCTTTGTTTCTCCAACAACTTCCCCTTTGTTCCTTTTGCTGAAATGTCTTCATGTTCCGTCTTTAGCTGAGATCACTTAATCCTCAAGGACAGAAACTTGACACTCAGCCCTCTCTCTCTCTCTCTCCTCATTCCCATTTTTTCCTATTTTGTCTTTTTACTAGAGCCTCCTAAAATTATATTTGGTCTGGTTGTGTTTTATTTTACAGTATACCATCAAAAAAGTTATGAATATTTCACTATTACAAGATTATACAAGACCTATCCAAAGCAGATGGTCCTTCCAGACACATTCTAAATATGTGTCAGCTCTAATTAAAAGTAAGACTTGCACAGTGGAGATAACTTTTCATTCAGTCAATTCTGTCAACAGTCAAGACATGCCTATCTATATTGGTCGTCTTGAGTGCTCTATTTTCTACCTTTACTAGGCCCAGCAGCATACTTTACTTGGTTTGTTTGGTAATCAAAATAGAAAGAAAAAAAAAAAGCACATACAATCCTCAAGGGATTGGTTCAGGACTCCCTCAGATACCAAAATCCACGATGCTCAAGTCCCTGACAGAAAATGGTGTAGGATCTTCATATAACCTACATGCAGCCTCCCTTACCCTTTAAATCATGTCTACATGACATTTAATACCAAATACAGTGTAAATGCTACATAGTTAGTTATTATACAGTATTTTTACTGTTTTGTTTCCTGAATATTTTCAATTCAAAGTTGGTTGAATCTACAAATGTGAAAACTGTGGATATGAAGTGCTGACTATATTAAAAAGGTAAGATAGAATAGAAAATAAATCTCCTGGACACACCCTCCTTCAGCCACCCAATTCCTATCCTCTGAGGTCACCAATTACCTTTGCTTAGGTATCTTTTCAGACACATAGACTCCCATATATATGTATATATATCACACAAACACAAATGTGTGTATACACACATATACAAATGGCAGTACAGAACATAGAATATACTGCTGTACATTTTTATCATTTAATAATATATTCAGTGACTTCCGTACAAATGCATAGGAAACTGCCTCTTGCTTTTGAAAGCTCATAAGGAGTCACAGGTGTTCCTTCGCATCGGCAAAGTATATTTAAATTTATTCCCAGTCTTTGACTGATAGGTGTTTAGCTTGTTCCCAATTTTGTGCAACTATAAACAATGATATGATGAATATTTTTGTATATGTTATTTCATCCCTGTAAAAATATGTCTGTAAGATAAATTTCCTAACTATGAAAGTATAAGGTCAAAAGGTATACACATTTTCAGTTTCTAATTTGATGAATATTAGAGAATTGTCTTACATGTAGGATACCAATTTGCCCTTCTGATAGTAAATGATGAGCACCCCTGTGCCTCCTCCCCTTCACCTATGCTATGTGTTATCAATGTTTTATTCTGCCAATCTAATTAAGTCAAACATGGTTTCTTGCTGTAATTTAAATTGCCACCAGAGCTCTTTAAAGGTGAAGGAACCAGAAAAAGAAAACTCACACAGCCCTGAGAATCCAGACCCTGCGTCTGAAATAAAAAATTTGAATGTTTTTTAAAAACTGTATCTAACTGGTCTGCTTTAAAAAAAAAAAAAAAATGCCATAGCACAAAACTCAAAATGCCAAGTAATGTATCACAGTCCAACCATCCTAGTGACATTTCTCATTGAACTGATTGCTGAAAGACATTATTACTGGTTATAGTAATGGGATAGGGCATCTGATTATAAGGCTCCACGATGCGCCATCTCCTCACGGTTAGAAGCTGTTGTGTTTATTTTTCCCTGTGTTTTCAGCTGGGAGGACAGGCACACTGCTTTTCTGCTCGGCAACCTCCTCTCCTGAGTATATTACCTTCATTTCTTTAGTCCTGTTTGTGCTTCAGGTACCCAGGTGCAGGCAAAAAATTACCATGCACGTGGGGTCCAGCTGCAGCCCGTACCTTGTGCTCTTCACTTCGTCCTCTAGGACTAAGGGAGGCCTTTGGCAGGGCTTCAGGCTCGGATGCAGTCAGTGCTGACATCTGCATGGATTTTTCTCAGCCCAGTTGAGCTCATCACTGGCTCCATAAGGAGCCAGTAACAGATTCCAGGAACTGCTTGGAATTTTCCCCTCGTTTACAGATATTTTCCCCTCACCCAAAACACACACACACACACACACACACACACACCCTTCGTCCCGCAAAGCTTTCCATTTCCCTTGAGAGCATTAACTTGTGTGCAGTGTGAACCAAGTTCTGCAACAGCGGGACCTCATGCTTCCGAGAGGTAAATACGTAAACACAATCTCACACCATGAAACTATGACTGCCCGGTAACATAGTAAAAAGAGAAAGCCTTTAATTGCATCGATATTCATTCTTTAAATACAACTAAAGACAGAACCCCTGCAAGTAATCTCAAAGATTAATTTGCATTATTTTTGTAATGAACAAAAATTGATATTTTCTACAAGAACTGTATAAAAGAATAAACTCCAGGTTTTGTTCCAACTCTGAATTCTCTGGGAATTGTTAGGCTTTTTTATAGTTTATGATCATCACAACAGCTAATGACTTTGAGATTTTATGTAGTAAGCATATGAAGCTAAAATTTTCTTAGAATTGGTAATATACAAAGCCCTAGAAGCGAAGGGACTTTTTGTTTTGTTAACTGGTATGTTTCCAGTATCTAGAACCTTGCTGGCATAGAGTAGATTCTCAAAATATTTTACTGAATGGATACTGATACTGTTAATATACTGACATTTTCCTCCTCATACTTCTAAAAATAAGCCCAGAATAAAGTATTAAAATTATTATTTCCAAAAATTGTCAGAAATGCCACAACTGCATAAGGCTTTCAACATCATCTTTCATGTTGGGTTTAAATATTTATATTCTTTTTCAAACTAAAGGTGCAGCTTCTTTGTTTTTGATGCATGTGGGTAAAGTTTTCATTTCCTTGAAGTTCTGGAATTTGTAGGATGCTTTGTTAAGTGACATTATTGCACCCAGCAAACATGTTTAAAACATTCACTACCTTGAAAAAAACAAAATCCACTATCCTTTAATAATCTGAGCACAGCCCAATAATGGCATCTTCCTCTTCTCCAACTGCTTCACTGGTTTCCCATTAAGGATCATATTGATTATCAAACTGCTCTTTAACCTAAGAGTCACTGTGACTTTCTCCTTTCTTAATTAGTCTTTCTCTACACGTCCAGACACACAGCAACTGCTGGGCCCCTCAGTTTTAATGCCTAGTAAAATGTTGAGTCATTGGTTCCAAGTTTGGAAAAGGTACCTTTGGAAAAAGCAGCATTGAGAAATCTTTCAATGCTCTGACTTTTGTGCATATGTATTTTAAACTTTAGCATAGCGTGGAATACTTTAAATTGTAAAGTATAACTCACTTACAAAACATAAGTTTTAAAACACCAAAAGAAGATACATGTAATTCTATTTTTTATGAAATGAATACTGTATCTCCTCATTTTCTTGTGGATTTAAACTATTTATGAAGGCTTAAAACATATAATTCAAATGTTGATGTAAATAACTTAAAATAATTACAAAATTCAAACTGAATCAATAAATTAGAGCTTGTTTACAGGAAAACACTGAAGAAGCCTCTTTAACAAGTCTTATTAATTAAATCAAAAGCTAATGAATAGGAGGCAATCAAGGCTTGATTGCCAGTGGAGACATTAATTCAGGTAAATGACATGGTTGAAAAAATGTTTTACATTGTGTTAATATTACTAAGGAACATTCTACTGGAGATATCACCAAATTTGTTTCTAGTAGCTCTATCCTGTATAGACAGTCATTTTATTGCAGAGATTCTTTAATATTCTTTTATTCTTCCAATAACAGCCATTCCCAGCTTGGCCTCACTGAAAGGATCACTTCAGGCCCAAAGATGAGTGACTCATTGCCCATCACACGGGGTAGCTGTCAAGGGCAACTCCAGGGAAGAGAGGCATGACAAGGGTCGGTTGGAGAAGGCACAGAGCCACATACAGAGACCCAGGCACACCAGGTTGCTGGGCAGAGTCATGCTGAAGTGGACTAGGTTTCAAACTGGTTCTAACCACAAATTCAAATCACTGTCAACATCAAAAATCCTTTCCACAGATTTCTGTTCCCTAAACTTATAAATATAAAATTTACTTATGGGAGAGTGAATTAAGGTCTAGAAGCTTTAAATAAAGAAAACAGCCTGTTTATTTTTCATCCATTTATTTGTTCCTTTAACGTTTTGCAAAACCTATAAAAAAGAAAAAACTCCCCCCTTTACTTTGGGGTACATTTTCCAGTTTCAAAAGAAGGTATTTAAAGAGCATTTCCTTGCAGACAGACAATGCTCAAAGGAAAGCCTAAAGGCTTTCTATTCCATTCGTTACCTTAAATTAATAGTATAACTTGGTACAATAAAACAAAATTACAAATATTATCTAGATCATCTCTGAAAATGGAATCCATGTGCTAACACCTAGAAGAAATTATGTCTAGAGGATATAAAGGAAATTAAAGTGATATACCTGTAAGAAATTTAATATACTCTGGGAAATATAATACATTCTGTCTTTCTCTTTCATTATGATTATGTCCCAAGAGAAACTGCAAAGGAAAATAATACCAAGTACAGGTAGATACA